TACAGGAGCAACGGCCTAGCTACGTTGAAACACCGGTTCCCATTAGAACACCCGAAGTTAAGCGACGTAAGGCGATACTGGTGGATGGACGGCTGACCGGTTCGAAACTCTGTATCGTGTTGTTGTCCAAGGGAAAAGTGTAAAATCTATTGATACACACTGCTCATTCACGTCGGTTCGAGGCCGGATGAGATCGGATATCTAGTGAGTAAGAGTTGATTTAGACACTTCCTAAGTCGGTAGGCCATTGACCATGATATGGCCGAAGACCGCGGTTCGGATTCGCGTAAACAAAAGTAGGCCCCGTCCAGATTAGCCCTGGCAGCAAAAAGGAGACGTTAACTGAAATCTTCACTTTACTTTACTTGAATTACATACAGAATGTCGCAATATTCCGTGGACATAGAGCTACTACGTATTTTTGGAATCAAAATAAGTTTATTGGACACAATTTACCTCTATGCAAAAATGCTTCATTTGTCTGCTAGAGGGCATCAAACTTTAAAAAAATAAACACATTTTTTCAGATATTTTAAGAACCGTTATTCCGATTTGAATGAGATTTTGGGTGGCTATGTTTTGCTAAGTGCTTTAACATTTGACTTTCACAAAAATTAAGAAAAAGTACGGGAAGGGTGAAAACTACCCCCACCCCTACATAAATTTTAGTATAAATATTTTCCATCTCAACCGACGACCGATTTTTTTTTCGTAAAATGGCCTTTCTAGAATTTACTACATGTTTTGTCTCTTGTAAGCAAAGGCCACTGCGGTTGCTTTTTGAGGAAAAAAAAATTTCCCGAAGCTGACTTTGAAAAAAGGTTTTTTATCACATGAAGCTGTAGGATCGCATAAAATCTATTATGCTCTAATAATCTAGTAGGCGCAAATATGGAATTTTATGTTAATACCACAAATTCTATTTGATAATAAGCTTCATAAAAAGCTTAAAAGAAATAAAAAATTTTAAATTCATTAACGTTCGGGTTTATTTTTGGTTGGCTTGGAAATGAACATCGATGATATTTCCCATGCAATTTTACATATAAAATCATAGCGATCTTCATTTCATAGCCATCGCTAACGCCGTTTTTTATCATATTGTATTATTTTGTTAGATTTACTATACTCACTAAACAAAATAGTCATATCTCATATACCTAGTAGTTATTACCCTGCAGCACAGATAACATAGTCTGTAGTAATATATATCTCAACTAGCGTGTACCCGCGACTTCGTTTTGTAATGGTGATGATAAAGCAAAGCAAAAATTTCCATTAACAAACAAACTGGATAAAATTTTCTCACATTTATGTCAGCATGAGCAAAAACAATCGAGAAACCCCTCCTTATCGAACCTCTGCACATCACAGAGTCAATCCGTTGACGCCAAACCAAGCCAAAAATCAGCTTTAAATGCAAACAGTTTAAGCAGAATCGTGATTACTCAATGGTCATATTTTATGAAATATCCTGTATAAAGTTTCAAAAAATCTTAAAATATGTAAAACAACAAAATAATATATACGTGTTTAAGAGTTTTTCAGAAAAACTCACCGATTATTAAATAAAAAATATTCTAATATTTGAAGGGTGGTTTCGCCCCCTTAGAATTCGAGTCTCGATAAATCCCTTCTTATCGAACCTCTACACCCTAAAGTCAATCCATTTTCCAAAAATCAGCTTTAAGCAGGATCGTGATTAATCAATGACCAGATTTTTGAAATACCCTGTATACATTTTTAAAAAATCTTAAAATATGTAAAAAAAAACAAAATAAAATATACGTGTTTAAGCGTTTTTTTGGAAACTTGACCATTTTTTAAATAAAAAAAATATTGTAATATTTGAGGGTTGGTTTCACCTCCTTGGAACTGAAATTTCGAAAAATCCTTTCTAATCGAACCTCTACACCCTAGAATCAACCTGTATGCCAAAATTGAGCTTCTTACGTTGAGTTACGTTGAGCAGGATCGTGATTAATCAGTGAGTCGGATTTTATATATTTGTATTATAGATTATTTTACGGGGTAGCTATGACTAGGTATATTATGTTATATAGGTTTGATAAATGATTGTGTATTAATTTGATACACATATATACAAGGGTGTCATTAGGAAAGATAAAATTTATTTCTTTAGTAAATTAATAAACATGTTTTTATATATAATTTTCGATGTACTTAAACAGCCGTTAAACGGTAGCCTACCAAAATTCCGTTAACAGATATTGTGACGTCGTTCATGTCGGCAGAAAGTAATGCCTAGCTATAAGAATTTTGCAAGAGCACCTGTGGCTCCGTGGCTGAGGCTATCGCTTCGTGAGCGAATGGTCCGTGGTTCAAATCTCACGCCGACCAAGACTTTTTTATATATTTTTTGCTTATAGCGTGATCTTATTGCATTGGTTTCACTCTTTCCCATATAGCACGTCCAAATGAAATTACATTTCTACAAGCGAGACACATGAGAAACAACATATGTTAAAGTGAACCTAAGTGTTCATCTAGTTCTAACATATACATATGAGATACACGCAGGTTTATATTGATAGAATTGTGTGATACAGTGTTTACTAGTTGTATACCGTATGCACTCAAGATTCTAAAGAGTTTTTTGTAACGTAACAAATAATTATTAAAATGATGAAATCTGACGTCGGTATATGAGACATACAATGTATAAATCATATGTATGTGTGATACTTCGTATCATAGTTGTGCCTATAGTACACACCTTGTAAAAATGTGACGTATACACATAATATAAATATCTATATAGACGCTTTGTAATAGTGTACTGTTGTGTCTACATTCTAGCATGAAATGAAGGTGTGCGCATGCGCGGATAGCCTCAGCGTAAATACACTGACCAAGTGTATCTTATGTGTCCTCTCTCCTTTCTCCTTTCTAGGAGTGGAATGTGTTAGCAGCCATTATTGTTTTATCATTCGGAAGTTCTATATAAATGTTCTGTTTGTGTGTAGTTTAAAAGAGATTTTAAGGTAAGTACACGTTTTTAATTACTTTGTTACACCTTCCTAAGAATATTATTAATATTATAGCAGCGACTCTTCCCTTACTCGATACCCAATTTACCAAATTTTGACTCCAATGAATGAAAACTCCAAATATTGTCGTATAATGATAAAGAGATTAGCTAAGTTAGCTCTGCAATATATTTTTTTTAATTGGAAATAATAAAAATCTAAATGGACCAGAGAAAGAAAGATTTAAACACTTCAAAGAACTTCTTACACTGATGTTCGATAAGTTATTGATGGATCAATATACACACCGATATGTTTAATATTCAATAATCAGTTTCATATAAAATTTAAGGATGAGATTGTTAACCTGGAAATAAAATACAACAAAGTCCAACAGAGTGCTCGATGAATCAGTATGCTAATAAACCAACTGCTTGGAGGGAAAAGAGGAGAAAAAAATGACTACGACTTTTATGGAAGAAAAATGGTACATTTAATACAAAACAAAAATGGAACAATTTTAAGGCTACTTCTCTTGAACTTACGATCGAGATACTTTTGGAAAATTCAAAGTTTTGCCTTCCTAATTTTCGTTCTAAAAAGATATAATTGGTATCATTGAATAAATATTTCTTAAAAAGAACGAAAAGTTAAGCATCAAAACTTGTATTATTTCCTAAATTCGTTCATAAGAAGTTGTTTTATCTAGCACAAGATGTATATACGAAGCAAAATACATACGTATACACGCGGTAGTCACAACTGCAATGTGTAAACATAGTTTAAACGTAATACACAAGCACTGTGCATCCTACGGCACACTGTGTATCCCTTACTTTGTGTATACGTAAATGCTATACTGTGGCTACATTGTGAGGCGGACGTTTAACCTTTGTGCATACGTGTTGAACTACAATGTGTAAACGTAGCATATTTACATCGGGGGAATTGTGTCACCCTGTGTCTACATCTAATAATGTAAACACATCGTAAATGTGATTTGATGTGCTGTATGGGTTTTGGTTGGATTGGTTTAGTTATTTGGAGGGTTGGTTAGCGTGGTTATTTGGAGGGTGTTAGTTCATTGGTTAGTTGGTTATTTGGTGAGGTTGGTTGGTATTTACTAATTTATATTTGTTTTTTATATTTTTTTATCAGTGTCGAGGTTAGTTGCGTTGGTTAAGTTAGTTATTTGGTGGGGTGGATAGCGTTGGTTAGTCCTTATGAAATTCCTATATTTTATAAAGCCGTCAAGTGCGTCACATAACGACGTCATACGTATTAACGGCATTTTAGTAAGCTACCGTTTAACGGCAGTTTAAGTACAGCCTATAATTTTCTATATAATTCGAGCTGTTAACGTAAATTTATTTATCTTGTTCTTTTATTATTTGATACACATATCAACATATCATTCTTGTTAATATACAAGGGTGTTATTAGGAAAGATAAAATTTATTTTTTTAGTAAATTAATAAACATGTTTTTATATATAATTTTCTAAATAATTCGAGCTGTTAACGTAAATTTATTTATCTTGTTCTTTTATTAATTTTGATGCATATGGCAATGCGTTATTGCGTACACAATTCGCATATGCGTAACGTTGGTTACGCATAACAGTTTGGAGGGAAAATAGATTATTTTTGAAAGTTTACCTTAGAAAGTTTTATTTTAATTCCACTAAACCTGAGGCCCTTAATACATTCAGATTATTATTAATCTTAATTTATGAGTATGAGGGACTACTTGATATCCAATAACCTACTTAATTATAATAAAATGTCTATGAAAAGACATTTTAATTCAGACAGTATCGGATTTAAGTTTAGATATTTAAGTTATAGCCTTGGTTAGAGTTAAGAAACTATTTGAAAATAATTTTTTAGGCTTCTCTTCTCAACTACTTCGCACACAATAGCCTTTACTAAGGAAGAAAACTTTTTTATTTTCTAGGAACAAACACAATTTTGAAACATAAAAAATAAAGAAAAAGCGACAACATCATTCTGACGGCTTTATTAGTTTTTTGGGCTACAATTAAATATAAAGAGATGCATAATTAGATTTTTATTAAAATACTTTTAAAAGGAACTTTGTGGTTATGTTTATAATTAAATACATTGAAATATATAACTTTTACAAACCAAAATTTATTTTTATCATATATATTATTTCTTTTACGTTTATATAATAGCTACATATATATTTCTAAATATTATTTGTTTGCACAATAATTACCCCAATATTTTTTATTTAACTTACACAGAGTTTGTAAGAGTGATCATATTGAAAATATACCCCACAAAGGGTTTTAATCAGGCAACAAAAATATAGTCAATGAAAATGGTCGATGTACATTTTTGTATTTCATTAAAAAATAAATTGTTTGGTTTTATATTATGTTTGGTGAAAAAAAAATCATAATATTCTCTTGATAAGTTTTCTTCGATTAAATGAAACTGGTTACTTTCTGAAGCATGAAACGGGGTTAAAGTAGCAGAGGCGTAGACGACTTTGACGTTTCATCTCGTTGCCGCTTCTCAGGGCTCGATCGAATGTTCCATATTCAGGTCCATTAATATTATTCAGTTGGCTAAAACAAAATGTGTATATTAATGATTTATCTGATAGTACAGAATACAGCTCATCGCTCATCATATTCTTAATTAAAACCTAATTTTTGAAGTGAAACTTCTTTACGCGCGATGGAAGTAAAAATTGAAGGCCGTGACACACAAGACGCGAGACGCGAGAGAAAAAGTGGTAACGATCGGAGGTTACAACGGGGCATCCTAACTCCGGCCCTACGTCAGCTAAGGGACTGAAACTTGGAATGTAGATGGGGCTTGAAGAGGCTCATCTTTTCATGATAGTGTTACGTTTTTCGTCGGTTCCGTGTGGATAGAAAGTCACAATTTATTTAAACACAATTTATTTAACACTAATTAACAAACAATAACGATTAAAAAAAACAAACAATAACGATTAAAAAAAACTTAAAGAACTATTTTTAACTTATTTACAATCTATCTAACTATTTATCTAACAGGAATTTATTTTGAATTAGCGCGGCGATTGTAACTGTACGCGTCGACCGGTTGTTTTCTCTGTCTTCTTCGGGCTTCCTGCGTCGCTTATATATGAGAGAAACAGACAATCAAGGTCTCGAGAATTATTAGCCTTCTATTCGTTTTCAGACGTCGTCGAATGAGTCGAATTGCAAAGCTGGCCCCTGGTACATTGAGAAGTCTGGTAGAAAAAGCAGTCTACAGTTTTCTCGCCCGATCTCAGCTTTGAGTTGTAGCAGCAAACGAGGATCTCGATTCCCGTAAATCTAAACAAGACTTCAATCATGTTCCGGATTATACGCCAACTCAAACCATCGAGTCCACACGCCAGCTTCGGTATGGCTAATCGTGTAATGTTGTTGTTTAGCAGGGCTTCTCTCAGTTCAATCAGGGTCTTCCAAAGATTGAGATAATTCGGCTTACTCGGCGACCATTCCTTGGTGACCAGGTAGAAGATGTGTCTTGCTTGACCATGTGCATTGTCGGTTAGCCTCAAGACGCTCCAAACCTCTAGATCCTGTCGGCGTAGTTCTCCGACACGCCCGAACTTCTCATTGAACGTCGCAGCGATTCCTCTGGACATCCGCAAATCTCGAGCCACACAATGAGCGAGCGAATAATCAGGAGGCACGGGAAAGAGGTCTTGTTGTTCTTCTTTGGTTACATCAAAGCGAGCCTTCTCACTGCTGTTGTATCGGGCCATGAAGTCGTCAAAAGACATCTCCGAATCAGGGGGACCAAAGCTGCAGGTTCTCACGGTCCCAGCACGATCTTCTATTTCACCTTGGTAGGGGCTCAAACGGTTGAAATGGACTATCCTGGGTTTTCCTTTTGGCAATTTTCTGATAAGGTATACGACGTCATTAATCCTATCCATGATTTCGTATGGACCTTCCCACGAGGACTGTAGCTTCGGAGATAACCCATGACGTCTCTGCGGGTTGTATAGCCACACCAACTTCCCTGGTTGGTACCCTCCATGCTCAGCTTGAATGTCGTAGTGTTCCTTCATTCGGTCACTAGCGCTTTGAATATTTAGGCGGACTCGCTGATGGATGTCGTCCATCCTTTGACGTAGTGTGTGGACATACTCTTCTCCGGCGACTTCTTCTCCCGGTCGGCAACCAAACTTCAGATCACAGGGTAGGCGCACTTCCGGTTCCATAACGATGCTGGCTGGAGTTTGCCCTGTAGATTCTCGGACGGATGAACGGTAGGCCAACAGGAACAGGTGAAGGAATTTGTTCCAGTCTCTTTGGTGGTCAGAGACTACTTTGGCCAGATAACTGTTGATAGTTCTGTTCATGCGTTCAACCATCCCATCGGATTGTGGATGTAGAGCCGTCGTCCTGGACTTGCGGATGTTAAGGAGTTCACAGACGCCTTGGAACAAATTGGACTCAAAGTTTCTTCCATGATCTGAATAAAGCTCCATGGGAACACCAAACCTGCAGATCCATTATTTAACAAGGACATCAGCAATGGTGGACGCTTCTTGATTTGGCAACGCAAAATAATCCATCACTACCACAATGTATTTGTTGACATCATTCGTCTCCGGGAAAGGACCAGCCACGTCGATCGCTATTCGTTCGAAGGGACTGCCTACATTGTACTGGCGCATAGGGGCTTTACCACGCTGTTGTGACCCATTGATGGCGGCACAAACGTCACATTTCTTGCACCAGGCCCTCACATCTTCTTTGCAGTTTACCCAATAAGCAAGTGTTCACACAGCTTGCCTAGTGTCTTGGTAATACCAAGATGTCCACCGCTGGTTCCATTGTGAACTTCCTCCAAGACTTCCGGGACCCTCTTCTTTGGAATGACGATCTGCCTTCTCTCTTCTTGTCTCTCTGGTCTCTCAATCACACGGCGGAGTAACCCGTCATCTATTACCAAGGAATTTCACTGGGTCCAGTACGACTTCACGTTCGACGAATATCTGCAAATTTCCTCCCACGTTGGTCTTTGGTCCGCGTTTTTCCAGTTAATCACTAAGCTTAATTCTGGGTCACTGATTTGGTCGTTTGCAAGATCTTCGGGTTGCCAAGTATCGTTAACCACAGTTGTTCTTAGAAGTTTCGCTTCTTTCTCTTCTGCTCGGGAACAATGCTTACAGTCTTTAGCGCAAGGTCTTCTGGAAAGTGCGTCGGCATTTCGATGGATTGTTCCAGCTCGATGTTCTGTGCCGAAGTCGGATTCTTGTAATCGTTCGATCCATCTAGCTAGCTGCCCCTCTGGATTCTTAAACTGCAACAGCCATTTTAAAGCAGCATGGTCTGTTCTTAACAAGAACTTTCTTCCATAGAGATACTTGAAGAAGTGTTCCACTGCTTTAACTACGGCTAGCAATTCTCGTCTGGTCACGCAGTAGTTCCTTTCCGGTTTTGACAAGGTCTTACTAAAATAACCAATTACTTTTTCTTGACCATCCTGGATTTGAGACAGCACAGCCTCTAATCCAACATTGCTAGCGTCGGTATCCAATATAAAGTTTCCGTTGCCAAGGGGTAGCTAAGTATGGGCGCACTAGTCAGGTTCAATGTTCGGAATGCCTCGTCAGAATCTGAGTCCCAAGAGAAACGCCTCTCGCCTTCGGTAAGTCTGGTTAATGGTTTAGCGATGGTGGCGAAACCCTGTACATAACGGCGATAGTATGTGCATAGCCCCAAAAAGCTTCTGAGTTCATGTTTGTCTTTGGGTATCGGCCACTCTTCCACTGTCTTGGTCTTCTGTGGATCTACCGCAACTCCCTGGGAGGAGACCACATGGCCCAAGCAGTTTACCTTTTCTTGACACAGATGACATTTCTTCGGGCTAAGTTTCAAACCAGAGCCCGCAAGTCGCTTGAAAACTTCTTCCAAATTCTTTAGATGATCGTCGAAGGATTTCCCCACCACTATAATGTCATCCAGGTATACTAAAGAGGTGGTCCAGGATAGTCCCTTTAATATAGTCTCCATTAGTCTTTCAAAGGTAGCTGGCGCGTTGCACAATCCAAAAGGCATGACGGTAAATTGGCACAGTCCGGAACCCACCTAGAACGTTGTCTTCTCTCTTTCTTTCGGCGCCATGTCGACTTGCCAATATACACCCTTCAGATCTAAAGTAGAGAATATCATTGACCCCGCCAGCGTATTTAGAGTATCATCTATCCTCGGCAGGGGATAGCTATCCTTCTTGGTAACATTATTGAGCTGCCGATAATCAACTCAGATCCTGGTGGTACCGTCTTTCTTCTTTACTAGTACTACCGGCGATGTCCACGGGCTGTTAAATAATTCGATGACACCCTCTTCTTTCATTTCTCGAAGGATTTTCTCAGCTTCTTCACGTTTGGCGAGCGGAAGTCTTCTCGTATTTTGTTAGTCTTAGTAGTTTTCCGACCTCGACGAAGCCGGTTCTTCATTCTTCTCGCGGAAAGGTAGGTAGGTTTCCTACCTTTCCGCAGTTCCAACAACGAATTGGTCCCTTCTTGCCTATGTACTGGTCCATTACTTTCCGAACAATCCCTTCCACGGATTCGTTGGAACATTCGTCGATGGCCCGTACTCTTCCTAAAGACCGAGAACTTTGTTTCGCGGCCTCGAATTCTAGGGCACGTGCTAAAGCATCCACCAAATGCGTTGGGTGGGCTAGGAGAAGTGCTTGTCTTGTCTCGTTGTCACGTAAGCCGTCGGAGAATGCCTGTACTGCCAACCGCTCCATAACATTCTCGGGCGTAGCAGGGTAAGCAAGGCGAACGAGGCGGGCTACATCGGCTTCAAACTCCCGCAGAGACTCATTTGACTTTTGAATGCGATTTTTTAGCTGGGAATGATAGACATGTTCCAAATGAGCTTGGCCGTACCTCATTTCTAAATGTCGTACCAATTGCTGGTAATCTCCCTGTTCCGATGGTGACAGTGTCTGCAGGATGTCAGTCGCATCTCCTCGCAGTGCGACAGTCAAAGCGGTAGCCTTTTCAGTGATCGTCCATCCATTCGCTCTCGCAGCGGCCTCAAACTGGCAAAAATAATTGGCCCAAGCGGTTTTTCCGTCAAACTGTGGAGGCTTAATAACTGACTTTGAGATATACTTATTTTCGACGAGTGTCGGGGTCCTCCGATGTTTCTTGACGTTTTGGTGAAGTCGCCTTCACTATTTCTTCTTTCAAAATTTCGATTTTTCGGTTTACATCATCCTCAATGTGTTATTTTGTCTTGTAGTTCCGTAGAATTCGCTATAATTTCTGTTATCTTAATGTTTATACTTTCTTCTAAATTGATTATTTTATTATTAAAGCTGGTGGTACTGTACCATGTAGAGAGTGGGCCAAATTGGACGCCTTTAAAGGGAAACACCCTTTTCTGTAGGAGATAGACGAAAACTATTATCGGTGTCTGGAGCTCAATTTTAGCGATCGACATCTGTTAGCTACCGTTTCGGAGTTACGGGGTGTTTTTCACCCTCTCATAACTGCTAAGTACTTCTAATTCTTGTCGAGATTATACGGGCAATTTAAAAATATGAACCTTCATTCTTCCTCAAAGATATCCATAGGATTAGATCCATACGTTCTGAGGCGGTGCCTCGTTTTACTGAAAAAATATGTTTTCGACCAACCATTAGGGGCTGATCAATAAAGGGTCCAAAGCGTACTAGTTAAAAGTGGCACACTTTTAAAAATTCTGTATTTCGAAATTTTAAGTTCTTTTCTGTTAATTAAAAATTTAGAGGGTGTCCCAAATAAAAAAATATTTTTTCTGTTGATAACTCTTAAATTAGTAATTTAAAAAAAATATATAACCTCAGCGTTCAGAGGCGGTGCGTCGTCTTGCTGGAAAAATATGTTTTCGAGTTCCATTAAGGGCATATCATCAATAAGGGGTCCAAAGCCTACTAGTTAAAAGTGGCGAACTTTTAAAAATTCTGTATTTCGAAGGGGATTATAACAAAATATCAAGTGTGCTATATTTTTGGAAAGGTAATTTTAAATTGTTTTCAGTTAATTAAAATATAGAGGGTGTCCCAAATAAAAAATCAATTTTTCTGTTGATAACTCTTAAATTATTAATTTTAAAAAAATTATACTTAAACCATTAAATTCTACGTAAAAAGGTGCTTTGGAAATGTTTTCATAGAAATACAGAATTTTCCATAGCAAAAAAGTTACAGCGATTTGTTAAAAATGCACATTTTTGAAAAACACCCCGTAACTCCGAAACGGTAACATATATTGATGTGCAGTTTTCAACATCATGTTTTTAATGAAAATTGAGCTCCAGACACTGATATTAGTTTTCGTCTATCTCCTATAGAAAAGGATGTTTCCATTTAAAAGCGTCGAATTTGACCCACCCTGTACAAACAATTTAGTTTTAAAAAGTAGTAAAGTATAGGCTGAATCGTGTTTAGCAAATTATTAGATTAGAGATTATGATATTATAGGTATTATTTTATAAACTCGAATTTCAAGGTAAGTTTTTACATACTAATCAGAGAAATATATTTCCCGATTTTAATTTAAAAAAATACAACTTTATTGTAACCATGTATTTGTAGCATACTGTACATCTATGAAAATGATTTATAAATGTGCGAAACGATTTTCAGTCGAAATAGATTATATTCATAAACTATTCACACATATACAGGGTTAGTCCTAAATAAGCGCAAATATTTTGAGGGCTGGTAGGTTTCGATAAAAGTAACCAATTTTCTCATTGCCGTTTTTCAAATAAGTCGAAAATAACCGAGTTATTTTCCTTTGAAAATTTCCAAAAAAAAATGTTTTTTTGCTTAAATTTTGAGAACCACTGGATTTTTTTTCTTGTAAATTTAATCTACTTCCTATGTTACCATATTATCACGAAAATTATTCGTTTTAACTAAAAACTAAAAAAATTTCCAAATTTTTTTTCAAAAAATTACAAATTTTCTAATTTTTTTTTCGCGAAAATAACCTCATAATCGTGTTTCCTTGGGTCGAAATATACTAACCTTAAAAATATTTGCACTTATTTAAGACTCACCTTGTATAATGTAATATGTAATATTACAGCATTATTTGTTGCAAATAACTTTTAAGAGCATATTAAAGAAAATGATATTGCTGCTTTCATTGCTAGGTAACTATTCGTACGTGCTTTACTGCTATTTCTGTATAGGTGTAAAAGGTCTAGTGTTAAATTAACACAATATATTTTCTACAATCTGACACAATGTCTTATACAGTTGGCAGAATGTTCTACAATTCAAGCAAATATAACCGATTTAAAAAATTAAAGCAATAATACTGTCTGATCCTATGGTCTGATCTAATCCTCACAAAAAATCCAAAATACTCTTAAAGATTCCGTCACTTTTTTAATAAGAAAATTAGGGCAAAAAAACTAAAGAAAATTATACAGGGTAAATCTTAAATAAGTGCAAATATTTTTAGAGACAGTATATTTCGGACCCCAGAAACACAATTATGAGGTTTTTTTCGTGAAAAAAATTGTTGAAAATTTGGAATTTTTTGGTATTTTTTTTTCGGTATTACTTCCGAAGTAGCAAATTTTATTTTATAAAGGCTGTATAAACAGCTATGTGATCATTTTTATAGGATACCTCAATTCATATAACGTGCTAGAAGACCGTAATATGATAGCTTTACAACCAAAAAAGGCCCATTTTTATACAACCGTTTAGTAGTATAGAAGTTCTATAAAAAGGGTATACAACTCTTATGCAACTATTTTACACAGCGTTATATAACTATTAAAAAACTAGTTTTATTGTGTATTACGTGGTCACATCTAAGAAACAGAACAATAAAAACATTTGATCATTTAGCGAGGTAAAAGAGTATTTTATTTTTTACCGAAGAATATCAGGAGCAAATTATATTTTAAGCGTGTCTTAAAATGAATCTGGAGGATGTGGATTGTTAAAAAGGAGACTTTACTCGACGGTGAAAATGGCGGGTAGAGCCAGAAGGTACAACAAATATGTAATATAAAAAATCTTTGGGTTTGAAAAGTAGGGATAATTTTTGTTGCGCCGAAAATTTTACTGGTAGATTATAGGTATATATTTGGCAAAAAATTAAAGCGCTTTAATTTCGATTAAGGTTTACGTATAAATTTAAACAATAAAATAAAATAAAATTTTCAAAAATACTTGTTTTTAATTTAATTAAACAGATTATTACTGTATGTGGAAATCTTATCACAAAATAGTTCTCAAAAATAACATTTTACAATTTATTTTGATGTTTTTAATTTTGCTTCTTAAAATGGCGGCCATAGGCCATACAAAAATTCTGCCTTAAACATGGCAAATTATAATGCAACCATTTTATTATAAATGAATCCCTTAAATAAGTCTTTGTTGTAAAATAAAACGGTATAGGATAAATATCTATCATTACACAGAATTTCCAGGCACTATAGAACTATTTTTGACATATTGAGATTTGTGAGAAATAGATGATGCCAAATCTCATTTGGTTAGTATTTAAACTAACAAACATGATCAGATTTTCATGGATTCATGCACGCAATGCATTTTATGCCCGACGACTGAGCGACAACTTAAGGACTTTATAACCAAACAACAATAAAACAATACAAACATTACTACAGTAAAACTTTTACATCAACGTGGCAACAATGCTTTGAAGAAGCCAGACAACCCGAGAGATTTTGGCTTTTGGGAACCTAGGGAATTCTCGGGTTTATTTGCCGTAATTTCGAGGAGTTTTTTCTTACATGCTCTTTATAACTACCACTGCGTTTGTTAACTTTTTTCCAACTTTGTCCAGGATTCATAATAGCTGTATACTTCTACGTAGATATTACTTTTGCAACAACAACAATAACAAAATAAATAACTATGTATACCATTTAATTTAAAATGAGGTTATATTATACATTATCAATTTTATAATGCAGATATTACAGCGAATTTATTTTGTTAATCACAATTTTATCTTATAAGGCTATATAACTAGTGTTGTATACAGCACCGTAGTTTAATGCAATAAAACATTCTATTATACAACGTAATACAACTTTAATAAGACAAGTTTAAGTAACTATTATATGATCTTGTGACTACTAGTTATATGAATATTATAGAACTCTTACATGGTGGGTATAAGAGTCTAATAAAATATTATGTTTTTTATCATATAGCATTGTCTTATTAAGTGTTATATCATACTAAAAGAAATTATCGTTTAATGCGTTATAGGATACGTTGTAAAAACCACTAGAAAATAGTTTAATATGACAACTTTTATATGACAAAAACAGAATGGTCGAAACCAAATGCTTAATAAAATCAAGCAGTCCTTAAAACAATGCTATTCGACTGTTATAAAATAATTCAATCCTTTTAGAATTTCATTTTGCTACTTGGGTTACTTATACAAACTAGTTAAAAAATACGTAGGTGGCGCCCTCTACAAGTAGGAGTCATGTTGATATCAAAATCAAATTTCTCATGTCAAAAAACTCCCAGACACGGATTTTAGTCCAAATATTGACGTTACTTCAAAAATTATTTGGAAAAAATTGAAATAAAAATGAAACTTCTGCACTCCGAAACTAAGCATTTTAGGACATAATTTATACGAACTTTTTTACTTATTTTTATCTGCAGAATATGCTGCCGAAGTTTACGGAATACAGTTCGGACCACCCTGTATAAAAAAGAAATTGCCAAACAGACATACATTATCCAAAAATTATGTTACCTAAGTTGATTTAATTCGGCCATTCTCTGAGCAAGAATTTCCAATTGCCAGGGTTTCAAGCCGGAATCGATCATATTGTTTGTTGCTTGGTCCTGTTCATTATAGTTCTAAAATGAAGACCCGAAACGTATATAATAAGTATATACAGGGTGCTACAAATTCGAGGTACGAGCATTGGTAACTCGGTAACCGTAATAGATACGAACATGGTTAAATCGGGGCAAAGTTGCGCTTTGGGATGTTCACCAAGATGCCATCGAAAAAGTTTTAAAAATTTCAAGGATTGCTGAGTTTTTTGGAAAAAAACGGATATTTTTGAAAATCAATTTTATTTTTTCCTGTCAATACTTTTTAGAAAATCAAAAAAACTAATTGCACATTCTCATAGCCACATTATTAGGGCTATCTGACAGTATTTTTAGATTTTCAAATCAGCTGATAATTTGTGAGATACAGAAACCAACTTAATTTTTTTAAAAACGGGCCTGCATTTTTTATTTCAGATTTTGAAAGAACTCGCTCTCCCGAGTACAATGATATGCCACACTTAATATTTTTTTTGTTTTGGAAATTAGGACACAATTTATTTAAACTAATTTCAAGTCCGGCTCTGTTTTTTTAATATTTAATATATTCATCGTTTCAATATTGATAAGCTTTCAAACTTAACAGTGACGTAGGTTGTATACGGAAAATCAAATGCAATAAAATAATAAAAAATAATATAAATAAAATGTAATATAAACAATCAACTCATTTCCCCGGAAGATGGATTTGAAATGGTAGAGCAGTATAATGGCCAGCGAGGAACCTGGACCGTCTGATGACATCAAATAATTCGACAGGTCCAAATTTTAACAAAAAAAGTAAAATCAACATATATCGGCAGTTACAATAAAGAGTACAAAATGCATTCGAAAGTATAAGAAGATCTATTCAAAAGCTATAAATAAAATTGAACGAAAAATAAATTTGTGCAATAGGGAGGCTGGTAACCCTTTCGAACATGTAGACTATGTAAAGCATTAGAAACTAGTTTGTAGAAGTTAATTTATTCATAATAACTACGATTAATATTATGCAAATTATTAGATCGTACACTGAGAATTTCAAATTCACAATAAGAAAAGTTAAAAATAATATCTTTAAATTGCTGATCTGGATATTATTTATTTGAATCTTACAATTGGCTCAATTTTCCCTATTCAATGTTAATTAGCACTGATCAATATTGTTGCGATGAATATAATCAGATTAAATAATTTAAAAAACAGTCGGACTTGAAATTTTTTTTAAATTATAATTAAATAGTTTTGTTGCTGTTAAGATACCCAAAACAAAAAAAAGTATAAAGTATGGCACATCGTTGTACTCAGGAGACTAAGTTCTTTCAAAATCTGAAATAAAAAATGCAGGTCCGTATTTAAAAAAATTAACTTGACCTCTGTATATCACAAATTATCAGCTAATTTGAAAATCTAAAAATACTATCAGATAGCCCTAATAAAGGGGTTATGAGAATGTGCAATTAGTTTTTTGATTTTCTAAAAAGTAACGACAGGAAAAAATAAAGTTAGTTTTCAAAAAAAATCGTTTTTTTTCCAAAAAACTCAGCAATCCTTGAAATTTTTAAAACTTTTTTGATGGCATCTTGGTGAACAGCCCAAGACGCAACTTTGCCCCAATTCAACTATCTTCGTATCTATTACGGTTTCCGAGATACCAATGATCGTACCTCGAATTTGTAGCGCCCTGTATTATATTATTATTTATTGTAAATTATAATATTTACTTACTTGACTATTCTCTGCGAAGTGAGGTGGTTTGGCGTTCACAACCATTACAGTTAAGACCAAAAAGGCAAACAAAAATCGAACAATGGACTGGAGAAGAAAATATTGCATTTTGAACTGAAACAAAAAGAGTAATTATAATTCTAAATGCTGATTTATTAAAATTATTAATGGTTTCATACTTAAAGTATGGATTGACAAGAATATATTATAGTAATTACCAAATGTAAGAACAAGACTCCCTTAGTAATGGTCTAAGAACTAATCTTAGTCTTTGTCTTCTTGGTCTTACATTTGGTCCAGTCTTGGTATTAGTCTTGCTGCAAGACACTTGCAAGTCTTGCATTTCTTAATCATTTATTTTTCTAGAAGAACTTTCTACATATAGATTAAATAACTAGTATTTTAAGTAATTTAATGCAAATAAAATTAAAAAACAATTGTGTGTGCACTATGTGTGCATATTTGAAGTGAAACTTCTTATTAATTCCTTCTATCTGTCTGCCCGTCTGTCCGTCTGAGGACTCAATTGAGGTATCAGTTCGAGACGTCAAGGGCGCCATCCTGTATCCCGTCCCCAATTATGCCAAAATCGACCCACATTTTTCTTCAATATCAAATCCTTAGTCTGATAAAGATGTAAACGAAACGTCGTATTCAACTTTGCAGGGTGGGACCGTATGCCCACTCGCTCACATAGCCTGCCCATCAAAATTGGTCGTCGACATCAACTTTTGACGTTTCTTATGTCAAAACTAATTGTCACAGTGACACGGTCAAGTTGGCCTTGGTCCAATCTACTGTCATTCCAAATTTTATTTAAATCGGGCGATTTTTTGATTTGATTTATTGACGATGGGGTTTCCTAGTGCACGAACCGTCGTCAAAATATCGTGGAAATATGGGGCTTTTGAGTTCCATCTACAAATCTACATTCCGAGTTTCAGCCGCCTCGCTCACACAGGGCCCGTGTTACGACGCTCCAAAGATGGGTCCTCAACATTCTCATTGATTTACCACTTTTCACAGCTAGCTCATGTGTCAAGACCGTGTCGTGTTACGGCCTTGAATTTTTACTCCCATCGCCGTCGCTCCTCGTAAAGAAGTTTCACTTCAAAAACAAAAGAATATTAGAACATTCTATTTGTCTGATAATTTTTCAATATATTATATTGAAGCAGTATTTCTTCCTTTAAAATCAAAAGTATTTGTCGGGAAAACACTATTTGTAATAAACTGAAATAATAATTTGGAAGAAATAAGTAACATTTTATATCATATAAACGTGAAAAAATGCAAGACCGCTAGTTTTGGTCTTGATTTTGCAAAAAAGACGTACGTCGAAGCATCTCTTCTCCTAATATGGTTACAACTTGGTTACAACTTTTAAATTATTTCTCCAGTTAAGTTTTCCTCCAGCTTAAAGTTTAACAGCTATGTTAAAACTTTAAAACGATTTGGTTTGGTTTGATAGATACCCCTTTAGATGCTACTACTATCAATTATTTTAAAAATTAATTTTTGTCCTTCACTGTTAAATGAAAAAAATCTGAAAGTTTTTAAATGTTTAGTTACTTTTGGAATATGTGGGAATCTAATAAGTAATTATTATTTTTTATCATCTAATACTGAGACAACTAAGTAATAATTTAAACACATTACTGACATATAAGCTTCGTGATTTTTAAAATTCAATTGAGATGCCAATTGAGAAAAAGCCAACCTTTCGACTTTGTAGTTTGCAAAATCTGTAAAAATAGAGAGAAAAACTTTTTTAAACAGGGTGTAGCGTTTTTTATAACAACTACCACTGCGAACGGCAGCTTTTCATCGGAGAGCAGTCGTGGATAAGGTATTTCACTAGAGAGAAAACTAATCAATAACAATAAACAAAAAATATAGATATTGGGCGCCAGGCATATACAGAGAAAGAAAACACAGTTGTTTATTACTTAAAACTAGTGACTATATTCATTTATGATGTATCCTGATGGTAAATAGCATTGTACAATTTTAATAATTATTATAGTGGTTATATGTCGAGTAAAGCTATGTATGTAAATAATATTAAATATGTTCTTAACAATCTAACCACTAAACAGAGTCTGTACGATATTACTTAAGATGTACGTTATTGTTTAAGACTGAAAATGTTTTAAATGTTAAATGTAAAACTAGAACTTAAATCTACACTTAGCTGTTCTTTATGTAATCTTGCTTCAAACAGTAACAGCGTGAGGTGGGTTCGCATCTCTGTACTGTCTGTCGGCGATCCTGTTGGCCAAAACAACAAAAGGGGCCAGAATGAGGACACCATGAATTGATACAGCCGTAACTAACTAGCTTATAGATGGGAACGAAGCAGCATGGGGCTCAAGCTACATCCACGCTGGGGCACTTTATATGTAAGAAAAATAAATCCTACTGGGGACACTCGTCCACAGGACATCCGTACATAGGATAATGGTACAAGGGAACACTACCCGTATCTTGGATACTACTAGGACCTTGGATAATGCCCGTACCTTGGACACAGTCCGTCCATAAGACAATGTACGTCCATAAGATAATGTACGTCCATAAGATAATGTACGTCCATAAGACCCTCGAATTACTTCCGAGGGGTCAATAATAAACAAAGAAAGTCCTTTCTTCCATGTAACATTCTGGAGGACAAAAGCAAAAGAACACCAATGTGTCAGCAAAATACAAATACGAGTTAAGGTGGGTCAATCCAAAACTCTACCCTGTTGCTTCGAAATGGCAGCTGATTCAGATTTTGCAGCAAGATTTAAATTATTACCATTCCTAAAAGCCGGGATACAACAGAGCGGCAACCAAACTGAGGTTAAGCACGGAGAGAGTTGACAGAAGCGATGTTGACAGCGCCTCCACAGAGCGATAACAGGGTTGTGCCAAACGATAATAGGGTTGGCGACTAGGGAACGTAAAAATTACGCCAAGCGTGCCAAATAAATTATCAGGCCTGAACGATACGGAATCCGATGACGATACGCCAGACATCATATATATCATATATAAAAAAGACATGTAACGAACTAAAAACGTTACAAGGGTGGTTAACTGTATTCCGGAAACTTCGGCAGCATATTCTGCAGATAAAAATAAGTAAAAAACTTCGTATAAATGATGACCTAATATTCTTAGTTTCGGAGATACAGGGTGTATTATATTTGGATAAAAATTGGTGTCTATGGGAGTTTTTTGACATTAGAAATTAGATTTTGATGTCAATATGACTATTGGTAGGAGGCGCCAATTTCTACATTTGTTTTAACTGTTTTGAAGACTAAGACCGTTTCTCTCTCTCTCTCTCTCGGAGTTACGGGGTGTTTTTCAAAAATGTGCATTTTTAACAAATCGCTGTAACTTTTTTGCTATGGAAAATTTTGTATTTCCATGAAAACATTTCCAAAGCACCTTTTTACGTAGAATTTAATGGTTTAAGTATAATATTTTTAAAATTAATAATTTAAGAGTTATCAACAGAAAAATTGATTTTTTATTTGGGACACCCTCTATATTTTTAATTAACTGAAAAGAATTTAAAATTACCTTTCCAAAAATATAGCACACTTGATATTTTGTTATAATCCCCTTCGAAATACAGAATTTTTAAAAGTTCGCCACTTTTAACTAGTAGGCTTTGGACCCCCTATTGATGATATTCCCTTAATGGAACTCGAAAACATATTTTTCCAGCAAGACAACGCACCGCCTCAGAACGCTGAAGTTATCAGCAAATTTTTGCAGCCAATTTCAAGAATATTTGAATAGCTAACCAAGATCCCAGCCGTTGGCCGTCGAGGCTGCCTGACTTAGTGCCCATGAATCTAATCCTATGGATATATTTGCGGAAGAATAAAGGTTCCTTATTCTTCCGTATAATCTACACAAGGATTAGAAATACTTAGCAGTTATGAAAGGGTATCTTTCGCTCCCTCGGAGTTAATGAATTCCGCGAGAAATGTTCAAAAACTGTCCCGTTTGTCCATAACAGAAGACGGTCGATATGTCGAACACTTGTAGCAAAATCTCATGTCTTAGTTTGCTATTTATTTTTATTGTTATTAGATATAGTTTAAATGTGTTGATGTTGGTTAAATATATTTTAAATTGTTATAAAATTCTGCATCTCTCATAGCAAATATTATTTTCGTTTTAATTGATGCTCACAGCTAGAATTTTTTTGCATTACAGCCGGTGCCGTTCAAACTGATGTGAACTTAGCAGCCAAAAGATAGCGGCCGATTTGCCGAACATAGCCGAAGGGCCAGTGGCGTCGGGCGACTTAACTTAATATGAAATAATCATACAATTTCTTGCAGGAGAATTTTATAAATATTTAAATAGTACTAAAACGAAGTATGCTTCATTATGTTAATAAATTATTACCGATATTTTTATATCGGATTAATTATTATAATTTTGAATTGACACGCCTAGTGTAATTTTATAAAATATGTATACATTATACTAATGTAACCAAAATTAAAAAAAAAAAACTAATTCATTTATGATAGTACTAGTACTACTACCTTTATCAACAATTGGTTACTATCATATCGACAGAAACAACAAAAAAAGGTCATGATTTATATCACTACTACTACAGTGGCGTGTTCTTGATCGATTTAGTTTTCGGTATTTTCGTCAGCAGCTAATTTGTTTATAACGTTTTTCCGATTTTCTCGAAAACTACGTATACTAACAAGATCAAAATTTCAGGGATTATAGGGGTCCACTAGACTAATAATAATCCCCCAGTGGCGTGTTCTTGATCGATTTAGTTTTCGGTATTTTCATCAGCAGCCAATTTGTTTATAACGTTTTTCCGATTTTCTCGAAAACTACGTATACTAACAAGATCAAAATTTCAGGGATTATAGGGGTCCGCTAGACTAATAATAATTACCCAGTGGCGTGTTCTTGATCGATTTAGTTTTCGGTATTTTCGTCAGCAGCTAATTTGTTTATACCGTTTTTCCGATTTTCTCGAAAACTGCCCATACTAACAAGATCAAAATTTCAGGTATTATAGAGGCCCACTAGACTAATAATAATCACCCAGTGGCGTGTTCTTGATCGATTTCGTT